CGCCGCGAAAACCAAGTCGGTGGGATCTGTTTCTGGAGTCCGTGCCGGTAGCCATGACGACGGAGGTGACACGCCTCACCCTCGCAGCCTTTTTAATATTATCCTTTTTTGGAACCCGAGGCCTCGCTGCCGCGTTCAGACGTCTCCTGTCCTGAGCCAGATTAATCCAACTTGTCAACGGTTTCCGACCAAATTTTGTACTCACTCCTGCCCTGGGCCTAAGACAAATTCTTTTTTAAACATTTTAAGCCCTGTGGTAAGTATAGGAACCACTTTGTGTAATCACACGATTCTCAGAGCAAATTTTCCGTGTTCTCGAAGCTTCACTCACCTCGCTCACCGGAATTCTGCAACTGCTCACACACGCACGCACGCACGCACTCCGCGAGGTTTGTCTCGCCAACGCCAACTGCGGGCAGCTACCAAGAGGCGTCTTCCCCTCGGGTGAAAATGCGATTCTTTAATATTATCCTTCTACGAGGGGTGACGGCCACCCTCCTCACTCTCCAGCGCTTTTATTGATACGGCGCTGAACCGGAGAGGACAATATTAAAGTGGGCGAGGTTTCACGCACGCCGGAGAATCTGTTGCTCAGCTGAGCGACTGTCAGCTTGTGCAGAGAGACTGCCGAGGCCAGCACAGACGCTGTGTCAGGTGTTAGAGTAGGTCATGGAAACAGCTGACGATCGCATTCCGTCCGGCAAAACATCTCACGGTCAGTCTGATGTTGACGTGATCGGCAGGGCGAGGTCGCGGGCCGCTGAGCTAAGCTCATTCTCTGTCCTAAGGTCAATTGCCCTTCAGCATTTCCAGCTCCCGTCTCGAAACCGATGCCTCCTGATAGAAGTTGGCAACCGTTTCGCAGGTCCTTAGTGCCTCTATCATCAGGGTGCGACAGGGCCTTTGTCCTTACCGCCCCAAAAAAGAAACACCTTCGCTGTTCTGTACAGAACAGCAGGCAAATTCATTCCTAAAACTGATAGAAATGTACGATTATTAAGTGAGATTTGAGGTTCTCATGGCCGTCCTCTGGGACGTTGAAGGCCGAGATCACGTGGTGTCATCTTCATGCTCATTAAGGATGAACAAAATGTGTTTCGTGACTGTCCACTGTTCGAACATCTGCTGTTTATTAATCCTACTGTAGAGTGCGTCGTCGAATTGTCCTGTACAATAATTCATCAATTAGTTGGAGATTTCTGTCTGTCTTCCGGGTTCTCGCGCCGTGAGGTCTGGTCGATGTCCACCAACGTTTCCGTTCCGTTACCGCCCTGATGACGGAGGCAGCATGACCTTTGAAACGTTGGTGGACATCGACCAGACCTCACGGCGCGAGAACCCGGAAGACAGACAGAAATCTTCAGACTCACCGCCATGAAAGTACATTTCGATATAGTTCTCGTATCTGCCACAGCAGCACAGACCCAATATTTAACTGCAATCTGACGGTGGCACGCGAAACTTCGCGGCAACTTTCAGAAAGAACATTTCAATGGCTTTGTTATGGAACTTGCGTTTGTCATCCGTGACCGTTAGTAACCACTCTTTGACTTCTTCGCAAGTCGAAGGCTCATTACTAGTATAGTGAGTCCGGAGGGTGTGTAATAATGATTTGACAAAATATTGTTCGGTGATAACGAATTTTTACTGATAAAAATAATACGCGTAATGATTTAGAGCGAACTGAGACATTTTGTTTTGTGTTACTTTAGACAGCTTCTTGAAAGTTCGAACAAGTTATTAAGATGGCGAAAGTTTTAGCATTTTCCAGGATTCTGCGAAGTTTACATAATACGAAGTATATATCCAGGTCTTTGATAAAGTGTCAGCATACATCAGCACCTTTGCAATGCTCATCCAAAACACAGCCATTACCCAAGAAGGAAATGTAAGTGTGTTCGCCAGTAAAATAAAGTAATAATTTTTGCTGAGGTACGGACTAAATCAGTCACGGTGAGTGACATTAACAAATCTTCTGGGGCTGTAAGCCCTGTGTTAAGAATCACCGATTTTGCAGGGGTCATCTCTGTTCTCAGCATCAGGGCTGTGATGACATCACACTATTAACTGAACCTCTGCACTAGATAGGGGTGAGTGGTCCCCATCATGCCCTGGCTGGGTGGACCCCAGAGCTGGCCTGGATGTAGGGGCTAGACCAAAAATCCTCTGCCCCTGTCAGGGATCAAACGTTGTCGTACAGTCCGTAGTCAGTTACAATATTGACTGAGCTACTCTTCCTCATGTACAGTATTGTAGTGTACTTATTTATGATTATGCTCCTAATTTCAGAGTGGAAGTTACGTTTGTTAAGGCAAATGGTGAGCGAATCAAAGTGAAGGGCAAGGAGGGTGACAGCCTCTTGGACATTGTAGTGAACAACAGTGTTGATCTGGATGGCTATGGCGCGTGTGAGGGCACTCTGACGTGCTCAACGTGCCATCTTATCTTCAAGAAGGAGGATTTCGACCGCCTGCCGGACAAAGCCACAGATGAGGAGCTGGACATGCTGGATCTGGCATATGACCTCGCAGATACGTACGTACCTTCGTGGTGAAATTGGTTTGGTTACAGACCTCTGGTGCAATGTAGGACAGTATGTATTTGAGCCCAAGCAACATCTAGACACTTTTCAGAATTCAAGTTGTACTTGCTAGACACAAGTGTGAACTTAAGTATCGCCTTTGTTCTGTGCATGTTAAGAGCCCTTCAGGTATTACAGAGTAGAAATTATTTTTGTTTATTTCGCTCTTCGTTAGAGCCACATATATTCAAATGGAACAAATAAATGATTGGAACGTTCCCTCATTAGATAGATTTACTGTGTGGTTGCCAAGTCTTTGTAGGTGCTGTTCAATTTTATGTGTCATACTTTTTTTCTTTTAATATTACACATTAATATCATATTTGTCATGAATGGCAAATAGGTGCACGGTGGACATTAAGTTTTAGTTCCTATCAGAGTTTTTTATTTTATTTTCAAATAAATTTACATTGGTTTGGTGATCAAGGAATCATAACTGACATCAACAGCCATGCTAATTTGTGTTAACGTTCTGCTTCAAAGCTGTCAGGTGGCAGCAGTTGGTGCTGCTTGATATGTAACCTGTCTCTTTGCTTCAGGTCAAGATTGGGTTGCCAGATCATCATGAGGAAGGACCTCAGCGGGCTGGAGGTGCGGGTCCCAGCAACTGTCAACGACGCTCGCAGTTAGTAGTTGAAATGCCATGTGGCCAGTTTAGTGAGCCTCATGGCCGCATTACCATGTCGGTTGAAAGAGTTGTGAGGACAGTCATTAATGAAAGCTGTAAATTTTTTTATGGTGTTTTAGGGGTTGGGCTGGTAATTGTATGTACAAATATATCTGTTATTAAAGTTTATCTTGCCACTGACTTGTTAATTACACCTGCACCTGAACTTCCATTGTGTGTTGCAGGCAGTAGTGACTTGACATATTTGAGTCTGTGATGGTACCTCAGGAATGTACCAGTAACTTTGGCTTCATGATGTGTCACCAGTTTCTGTGGACACAATTTTTGTAATTTTATTCTATGTTTATTTTCAGAGAATAACAACGTAAGTTCATGGAGCAGAATTATGCTTGAGAAGCTGATAGTGATTCAGCCAGTCAACAAATTCATAATCTTTCATTAAACCCAAAGATTCACTATTGTATTCACAAGAACCCATCACCATTGAATCCATAGACTGTTGCATCACTGGTTACATGCAACCCACATGGCTGTGGTTTTCCAGATAACCTAAGTCCAGCCAGCATTTCTACAGTACAGGGGTGTAAATCCACAAAACCAGTATGATGAATGTTAAGATTATTTTTAATAGTATCCTACCATCTATACCTAGGTCATCCGCGTGGTCTCTTCAGACTTCCCATTCAAGGTTTGTATAGATTTCTCATCTCCCATACAAGTTACATACCCTCATCATCTCATCCTTTATATCATGTTCTTAGATTATGGAGCTCGTTATGCAGTTTTCTTTAATCTTACTTCATCCATTTGGCAACTAATATACTTCTCAGCACCCAGTTGTCGGACAATTATTCCCTTAATGTGGCAAACAAAGTTTTACTCCTGTAATAATAGGTTAGTTTTTATGTTGTCCTTTTGTTTTTACATAGCCAATGAAAAGTGAATATTTTCACAACTGCATGGTATTGAGGATTTCCCAAATTTATTCTGCTAACTGTTTTGTGAATGCAGTTCTGATTTGTTGTATTTTTTCTGACAGATCAATAGTATTATGATAGACAAGATGATGTATAACATTTATTTGTATTCCATGTTATCATTGACAAGACTGCAGAGAGCCTGAAGAACCCTCTTGAAGGCCCAATGGAGAATTACTCTGAGGCTTCAAGAGAGGTTAAGGCTTTCCATTCTATTACTCTTCGCTTGTAATGTTAAGAACTTTCTCGATAATCTTATTACGACGTTTTATTTTCCAACATTGTCTCCCAAGAACCATACATACATGTTTTTAATACGGGTTTTATTGAATTTACTGTGGTGTGTTGGTAATACGTGGCTGAGATTATGAATAGAAACGAAGCGTTTCATGTTCTCTCTGACACTGCGGGTCAATGCGGAGTACGATTTGTTGGTCGGCCATAGTTGCTTTTTTGGTTTTAGAAAATGTCACTGTTTAAGAAACCGAAGAAAAATATAAGAAGACGAGTTATTGGAAACATCGAAGATGAAGAAGGAAACGAAGAAAATGATATAAAGGTGGATGTGGAAGAGGAGGAAATTATCGCTCAACCCCAACCTAATATAACAACGAAAATAAAGGACAAGAAAAAGGAAAGACGGAAACAAACCGTTCTGAGTTTTGAAGAAGAACTGAATGAAGGTACGTAAAATGTGAAATGAGTAATTTTGTGACATCACATATCGTAATCAGCGTTTCTTGGGGTATAACCTGTCTGTGATACAATGTTTTCAACGCTTGGTTGATCTCTGTTATTATTGGAGGGTTGCAGGGTGCCTAGTTCTTTATGATAAGTTTGCAGTTCTCAGGACATTACATTAGTCAGGGTCTGGCTAATACAAACTTTAGAAGTATGTTCATATGTAGCATTCAAGTGATACGTGTTTATGTGTGTTTTACTATGGTTACTTAATATCACATCCCTGTTTGTTCATCTATTTAGTCATCCTGCCACGTTTTATTTATGTAGGGTAATAAGACAGTCAGATAAAAATTAGGTATTGGATCTTTTACAGCCGATGATGGGGAAGTGTTCCAAGTAAAGAAATCAACACAGAGCAAGAAAATCATGAAACTGCTCGACAGAGAGAGGAGAAAGAAGAAGGAGGTGAAAAAAGAAGGGGAAAAAATTGATGGTGTTGAATATGAAGAGAAAACGGAGGATCCGTCGGACCTAGTGGTAAAGCTCAGATCTGTATTGCGTGTATTACAGGCCATCTTTTCTGTCCTGTGATTTGATGATCAGAGGGACTTGGTGAGTGCTTGAGCCTTCTTCTTGCCTGATTTTGAAGGTGGTGGTGAAGCCAACCCATAAGACAGCAGTGGGTCACATTCTCAACGGACGGGCAGCGGAGGTGGCGGGCTGCGAGGACGTCAGTTCTTCAGATGAAGACGACACTGCACATCCGCGGTTCTCTCGGCCGGACCACGTGAAGCTGCTGTTGGAAAGTATGGTTTGAAACTGTGGTGCCTTCAATATTTTACTGATTATGAAATAACTTCTGCACCTTACAGTCACATAGCATTGTGGCACTCGGGGCGAGACTTTCCTCCTTTGCTTTCTCACTTCTCACACGAGACAGGCCGCACTGAATTAACTCATTAATGCAGTGCGTGTTCTGTCAAGAGTGCATCTCTGTCTTGTGTCATCAGGTGGACGCATTCCTGATGCGGCAATGATTCATGCCGCACGGAAACGCAGGCAGCTAGCCCGGGAAATGGGGAGTGACTACATTCCGCTGGATAACATCTCCAGCACTAAGAAGTAAGTACTTGTGCTGAAGCCAGATCAAGGTGCACACGCGTGCTCGTTTGTTCATCATTCAGATCTTTTCACAGTAAAATTATAAGACATTGGTTTTCAGTGTTGAGTTTTACATCGGATTCTTACCACCTTGAGGTCTGAATTGTTATGTTTTGTGCAGTTGCAGTATTGATAAAGTTGGTCTTCACTTGCTGGTGCTGCCAACTTTTCCTCCTGTACTCATGAGTAGATTTAAATGGTCTTAGCTCCTACATTTGTGTTGGCAGGCCTGACCCAGGGAAACGCTTGGTACGGGAGGAGGATGAGGAAGGAAGTGATGAAGAGAGGATTACAATGGCAGTGAACACAGCCGCCAGAGACCGGGAACGGCGCAGGGAGGCATTTATGGCCGCCCAGGTTGCAGGTAAATAACGGTTTGTTGAACTGGAGGGCGTTGTTTGTGAGGTTTCCAAGATTGTTTGCTGTGCTGGTGGTAATTGAAAGCTGAGTGTTTTGATCGAGGGTGTGATAAAGAGAGAGCTTTAATGCCACAATTAAATACTCTGAATCACTGTATTGCTAATATAAAATCATTAATCCTTGTGAATCTGAGGTGGCAAATTGAATGAGGCGCATCTTTGTCTCCAGATGCGGGAGAAGAGAGTGAGAAGGCCGAAGATGATGAATGGGAGTCGCAGCAGATCAGGAAGGGTGTGACTGGTGCTCAGGTATGTTGATGTTGCTTATAGTTCTCTCATGTCACATTGTGGACTGTAATTAATATGAACGGCATGCCATTGAGACTACTCGATCTTGATGATTCTTGCTGCTCTGATTTATATGAACCTTTGAGGTAGAATCAGTACTACTATTTATTGCAGGGAAATAAAGCATTTTTATGTAAATAAGTTTTAGAAAAAATACCGAGTATTTACTGCATTGTTTCTTTGGGAAAACAGATAACAGCAACGTGGTGACTACATTAGACACTGATGAATCATAACTAGAGACGTGAAATTTGTACAGTGATTCCTGTGTTTCTTCCAGTATGCTGTGATGATTATGAAATTGTAAAATCCTGAGAACGTAACTCAGGTTCCAGTTTGGGCGCAGATCCAGACCGCTTTATCTCCTGAATAAAGTTTCAGGTGCAGAACCATTTAGCAAGGTCCGTCGCATGGACCGAAGAGCAGGCAGCCATAGTTTTAAGTGCAAACGCTGAGCTTGAAGTGAAGTCGTTAGTGTATGTGTAATTTCTGATGTGTGTC